AAATAGGTTTTTGTCCATTTTAAAAAGCCAGAATTTAATGCTCTGAACACACTTGACCTACTGAACCTCACAGCCTAAGTGTCTGGTTGCTGTGGAGCACCCATTGCTCATGGCCATGAGCAGATGACTGGCTGGGAGCTCTGGCTCGCTGCCCTCCCCCCAATTGCAGAAGAGCCTGTTGTATATGGCTCGCTCAGGGAAGGAGCAAAACTCAAAATTCACTATGCTCAATCCCTAACACCAAAATATAAATAAATTGCCAAAGAGCAAAAATACAAAGGATGTGTTCTATTAAATGTGTTACCACGTTTGTGCCACCATAAAATTGAAAAATCCTAAAGGTCACTGTCCTAAGTTGGGGACATTGGTACACTTTTGCTTATCAGCAATGGCTTTTCAAATGGAAGGAGGGGAGATGATGATTCATCTGGATGAGATTATTTTATTACCTGCATTTGTGGGGTTGCCATGAGGGGTGGTAGGAAAATGCAGACAGACATTGGTGTCTAGTACTGTGTTTTAAGTTTTGTACAGTCAGTGGACCCTCCCACACACCCAGGACAAGCCATGCCACTCCCCACCTCTGCCCTCAGTGCCTCACTCTTGTTAGGTCAATCACAGCTTTAGCAAGAATCACCTTAATCTGCTCATCATGATAACAGCTACTAATGGCTCAAGTCCATAGTAAGCCACGTGCTGCGACACTGCGTATTTACAGTCTTTCCTTCCAACAGCCTTGTGTAGAAGAGGCATTGTTTTCATCACAGTAGAGGCCTCAGAAAACGTTGTAACACTGTCTGGATCCCACAGGAGCTAACTGTAGAAAGGAATATGGACCCAGAACTGCCTAAATCCCCATCTGATGGTACACATATTTCCTAAAGGATGAGTTTCAGGGAGTGGAAGGAACATCAATCACAGTATGGGAAAAAGTTGCAATGAAGTCTGGCTAACTAGCTCTCTGAGAAGCCAGTCTACCCACCCTGACTTGTAACACTTGCCAGTTTCGCCAAGGCTGGTTTCACAGAGCACAGGCAGAGCTGAAAGAGATGCAAGATCATTCTGCACATGGCAATAGGCAAACAGAAGTTTCCACAGAGATGGAACTGGGGAGACACAGAAAAGCCCCAGGAAGTTGGAGAGCTGCAGCTAAAGAGACAAAGGATGTCAACAAAATCTCACTTCCACCTCCCAAACTGCAAGGCCTCAAGCTGCCAAGGCCCAGGCCACACAGGGGTCCCACTTGGGTCCCACCTCTTCTTCACAGGCAGCCACAGGGCTCTCCATAAATGCACCAGGCTCTGTGTTTGCAGATGCCATCTGGCAGACAGACTTTAAACCCTTTCCTTGACCTTGAGGGCTCTGGATCCTGCCCAGCCCTCAGCCTGGGATTCTTTCTCCCTTAGCCTCAGTTCCCCCACCTGTGGGTCCCTCACTGGCTGTGCCAAAACACCTGTGTCCTTAGGTACAAGACTCAGGATGGAACAGACTGGGTGTGGTGGTGTGTACCTGTAATCCTAGCTGTTGGGAGGCTGTAAACAGGTGGATCACTACGAGTCTGATCTAGCAGTGAGACCTTGAATACCCTGCAGACCCTTCCCTAAAATAAAAAAAAAAGACAGGATGGGGGTGCTCTTCCTGAGCTTTTCCACCTCCATCCCTGTAATTTCTAGCTCCAGCATTAGTCACTTGCTCAGGAAAGTTCTGCTGCACTCTTCAGGGAGGTCAATGCCTTTTATGAGCTGTGTGCATGCTATCAAGTGCCTCTGTGAAAGCCCTGATCCCACTCAGAATCTTGCATGGGTTTTTGTGATTCCACAAGGGAACTTCCAGTCCCAGGTTTCCACACCTGGCTTCTGCTGGGTGAGTGTTTGTTCCATAACTGCATGGACTCCCATGTTGTGCTGGGCTGGCAATGGTGAGCGACAGAGTCCCTACCATCTGGATAGAGTCCCTACCATCATGGCTTCCGCTTTTGGTGGCGTATGTGTGTGTGTGATGTCACAAATGAATGAACAGGGCAGATATACATGGTGATGTGGCTTTCACAGATATGGTGGGGCATGAGGGTGGGATCTTTATTATATATTTTTGGACTAAGAGATCACTCTGGAAAGGTGTTCTTTGGCTGGAACATAAGCAACAGTAGGGTGAGGGCTATGTGAAAGCTCAGTAAATGTTCAATGAATGGAGGGTAGAAACTGCTCTGGAAGGGGCATATGAAAAGGACAGAACCACCACTTCACAAGCCAATGTGGAATGTGCAGTCTTTTCAAACCCAACACCTGGCCAACAGCTGTACACAGCAGGTGCTTAGTAAGTGTTGGCTGAGATGAAATTAATGAACAGGCTAAGCTGTACTCTGTGTATGGAGGCTTTCACTCAGCATTGAGGTATTTAAGAGCTATGTTCTGAATGTAGTTTGTCCTGCTGGAAAGTCATGCCAGAGCTTAATCCCTACTGCAAAGTATGAAGATGGTAGAAACTTAACCCAGTGAGGCCTTTGGAGGTGATTAGGATTAAAATGAAGGAGGTAGAACTCCTATGATTGAATATTCATGGCTTTATAAGGAGAGGGAGAGAGTCCAGTGGAGGCATACACGTACACACACACACACACACACACACACACACACACACACACACATCCTGTTTCTCACTGTGTGATGCCCTGAGTTACATGGGTACTCTGTAAGAAAGGTATCTCTAGGTGCAGGCTCTTCACCTTGGGCCATAATAAACCTCTTTTCTTCATAACTTACCTAGCCTCAGTTGTTTCATTATAATAGCAGAGAATAGAATAATACAAAAAGGATCTGCCAATATTACATGAACCACTTGATGTCCCTAAGTGGCTGGGTTTTTTCTAACATTTTATTATAAAAAATTTTAAATGCCTAGTAAATGTGAAAGACTATCACAATAAACAGCTATATTCTCACCACTTAGATTCACTGACTGCTGTCATTTGAGCAAAGGTGGCTCTCATGAGAGATAGTCTTTATTACCATGAAAGAGGGAAATAGAGGACAGAAGGAAAAAATGAAGGCAAAGCTCTCGGAAGTTGAGCACATCATCAAGGGCATCTTGTTATTGAGATGTAGCTGCAGGAGGATCACAAAGAACCCAGAGACTGGAGGTGATTTTCCCTGGCCTGTCAACTGAGCTGATGGAATAGGCTGTTCTGCAGTGTTCTTTTGTGGCCTACTTGTGGATATCTGTGATTGTGTATGCGTGTGAGTGTGGGTGGGTATATATGATTTTGTTTATGTATGTGCACATGCAAATGAGTGCATAGTAGCATGAATGTGTGTGGTTGTGTGAATGTGTTTGAGTGTGCACAATAAGGTGTGTGGTCTGACAAAGGATCTACAGTCTGAGGTACAGGATCTCAGGATAAATCCTGAGGGGATTTCACTGACCTTATCAGACCCAAAAGCTACAACTCTTGTTCCATAGGTCCTGCTTTACCTTGGTCTTAACCATCCAGCAGAAAAGTATAAAAATGAAATATAAGAAGTAAAGCCATGCTGTTATGTTGAGCTGTGGGGGACTCAGCTCAACAATTTCTGACATTGCCAGTCAAGTGGAAGGCCCAATACTATTATGGACTACTGGACTCTTTTAGAATATTTTGCTGAGTTAACACACTTATAATATTCAAATAACGGAACTTAACAAAGAAAGGGGATACAGATGAATGTCCATTTTGTATCTGTGTATTCCAAATAATTAGGATAGATATACAGTTACATTCTCTTAATGAATAGAGGGATTTGTTCTAATAGTGTTTGTAAATAGGATATCATGTCCACATCTTGTACAGCAAATAACCACTAGGAAGAGAGTATGCAATGTGTTAATTATTGGAACTGTCCTACCAATTTGATTTGAAACTGTCTCATTGCTATTTGTTTCTCAATAAAATTATGAAAGAAAAAAACCAATAAGGTGTGTGGGTATGACGGTATATGTATGCATGATAAAGTGTGCGTGCCTGTTGGGTGTATTGAGAGTATGTGATTGTGTATCTAGCAATGTGGATGTGTGAGTATGTGAGTGGATGTGTGAGTGTGTTTGTGAGTAAGTTTGTATGCACAGTATCAGTGTACAGCTACAGAGGCAATTCTAAGATATCTGAGTGTGACAGAAGCCTGGATATTTTCTGAGGGGATCAGGGATCTCTCAAGGGTATCCACTGTCCCCCCACCTCCAGCCCCCAGGCCCCCACTTGCAGGGAACACAGAGTTCTTGACATGCCTTGAACCAACAAGGAACAAAGTATGAAAGTTAAAATGGCTGTGTGGAGTGGCAGGAGAATTGCAAACATTACCACCTCTCCTGTTTGAGCTCTGTCATTATCATTTTCCTTCAACATGCTGTTTGTCAGCATCTCCTGCTGTGGTTACCTGAGGCTTTCCCGGGCACATCCTCCACACCTGGAAGCTGATTCTCTTGCTGAACAGTGATTCCTTCTGGCTCATAAAACCAGTGTACAGCAGAAATGGAAAAAGGCAAGGGAGAAAAGCTCAGGAATCAGAATAAAAGTGACTGCTCTGGCCATGTCCTCTCCCATTCTCCTCAGGGAAAAAACATTGTCAACAGAGCCCCTGCTGGTAATGAAAGGTCACAAGCATCTGAGGCCACAGGTGAGGTCTAGTGACATCTATGACATTGGTCCTCAAGAAAAATCAAACCTCCTGACAAGACTGTCTCCAGAGAGCAGAGTTAGATCCTCATTTTGAGGGAAAGCAACTGAAGTTCTGCACCACCCCAATTATTCTTAGCATCACTACAACTGAGTTTCATATATTGGGAAATGATTTAGTTTAAATTCATGGACTGAGGAGGCATATTCTCACTCTCACCACCCCACCTCTATTAGCAAAAGTTTCAAAGTTGAGCAAACACTGTAAGCAAATAACTTTCATCAGGAGTGTCAGTGAAGGCAGGAACCAACCCCAGACACCACACTGCCCTCACCCCGAGAAGTTACTTACTAGGTTGGCATTTAAAGGAGACCAGGAGGTATTTACTGCTTCCTGGACAAAGGTCAGGTCCAAAGACACGGCTATTGACCAGGAGGTGGCAGGCCCGCTGGTTCTGGCACTCGTCCAGCACCTTCTAGAAAGAAGGAGGGGTAGAAAAGGGACAGGCTTGTCAACTACACACAGTCTCCACCAGACCCCACACCTAGGCTACTTTGGGCCCTGGGGAGTAGGCTGCCACCCAGTTCAGCCTGAGCTATGAAGTTAGAAGTACATATAGGAAGGTGATGGGCTGCCTGTTGCCTGCCTCCTTCCACAGAGAGAAAACTGAGGGAGCAAGCCAGGCCTCATGGAGAGTCAGTGCCCGACCAGCCACAGCTGGCATTCTGGTTGATCCTTTCAGAAAAAGTGCCACATACAGAGGCTTCAGGGACATGGGCAAGGGCCAGTATTACCTCTGAATGTTGGGCTTGGAGGGGATTTTGAGGAGGGGCCCTCACTTTAGGACTCAAACAACAATGACCATCAGAAATCATAGCACATGTCATAACCTTTGGAAAAGGCCCTCCACCAGCCCCAGGGGCATAGGGTAGAGGGAGGAGGGCCTCAGACTCCAAAACTCTTTCCAACAATAAAAATTAAAAAGCTGATTCCCTCCCTGACCAAACTCAAGAAAACAAGGCCTGTCTCACCCCTGGACAGTAATTTCCTTAGCGGAATGCTGACACATTCTGTTAAGTGTTTGGCTTAAAAGCTTTCCTACACACACACACACCCTGGTTTTCTCCAAGCAACTCCCTCATTTGCGACTGAATCTGCCCCTTGGAAGCTCACAAAGTACCACATACTGGTCCACTGAAGAGACAATGTTTTGCGGCTACTATTCCAGTTCCTGATTTCCAAACAGTAACCTACGTAGGATAAACTCGGAGGCCTGAGGTTTGGTTGTGATAAAGAAGATTCCACATATGGTCAAAAGTTCTATGAATCTACTTAATACCCTAGGACTGGGCTGAGGATCTCCTCCACTAAACCCAAGTGGGTCCCAGGATAGGCTGTTTCCAAACTGTGTTACAAGCTGGAAACTATAGGAAAAAGGACTTCCTGTTGACATTCATCACAGGCTCGGCCAGGGGCAGTCACCTGTCCTCTCAACCTGTCCTCTCTCTCCCTTCAGCACCTCCCCTCTAAGGAAGCACCTTACCTCCAAGCCTGGTACAGTTTCAAAGTCATAAAGGAAGGGGCCTCTTGATCTCTGCATAAAAAAGCGGTGCGTGGGGATGTTTCTGGCAAACAAGCTCTCTGAACAGCGTCAGGGCTGTGTTCACAAATGCTAACTTGTCGGCCTCATGGAACATCGTCTTCCCTCAGGGGTACCTGGCTAAGGCAGGGACTCCAGCCTGCCAGGAGTTCATACTCTCACAGAGTAGGCACTTCCACCCTTTGGGCACTGGCCAATGCCATTTCATGTGTTCAGGAGGGCAGCAGGCAGTGTAGTTACCAAGGATGAGGGGCAGGACAGTTGGTGGGGTGTGGGGCAGGCTAGCAGGGACATGGCTCCAGAACAGAGTACTGAAGGGAGGAATTAGGGTAGGGTCAGTTACATGGGGAGATAATCGTTCGTCTCCCAAAGAAACATGTATGGGAGCCACGTCCAGGAAGGTCATTCCAATGCATTCTCTCTGACTAGCTGGTGTTTTCACTAATTACATGCTACTTGAACACTACAATTCTAGGGACGAAATCAATAAGTAGCATGAGAATCATGAAGATTTTTACATATCATATTATTTTTGCCTCTCCTGTAGACCTTAGGAAGAACAACAAAGTATCAAAACTACTTCCATTTATCCTTAATCCTTCTAGTAAATGTATATTTATCCACATTTCCTGTGGCAGAACCATAGAAAATAACTTCTAACTTAACATTTACTCTAAACATGCTGCCTTCAATGTTTTATATAGGATTTAGGAGGAATTAGAAAAAACTAAGACTAAGTAATTCAACCAACAACCTAAATTCTGAGGACCCAGGGGTGGTGGACTAATTTTTTAAGCCATTTGAAAGCCATAAATATTCTAAAACCATTATTAAAATATTACTTTCCCCTTTTTTTCTCCCAATTCTTTTCCCAAATATGCACCACAAATGACTTAAAATCCCCCCCAACTCCTAGTTCTAGCTAGAAGAAGGACAAATTCAGCAGAGGCTTCTCAAAATAACTCCCAGTGAAAACAGTGTGATCATCTACAAATGCTAGAAAACAAAAGACAGTCATTGATATTTTTCCTTCTGAAGTTCATTGTCTATGAAATTGGTTGTGACCTCATACATCTGCTTCACAGAGATAGCTTATTCCACTGAAGAACCCCTTTTCTACTAGAGTATTCAAGGAGGTGTTAGCCTAGTGGCTGAAGCACAACGTGGTTATTCTTTGCTTCACTGTCATAAGGAGTCTGCCTGCAAGTAAAGTCATATTGCAGTTGTACTAGGGTGCTGTCCAGTAGGTAGGGATTCTATTTATATGTGTATGGCAAAGAACTGTTTGAGAAGCAAATAATTGCCTCCTTGCAAAACTGGTGATTTTTATGGATCAGGTTTGTTTTACAAATACATATGGATATATATGGGCAAGGAGAGAGAGAGAGAGAGAGAGAGAGAGAGAGAGAGAGAGAGAGAGAGAGAGAGAGATCCATTTGATCATCTTAACATATCTACAAAAGGCAATACCTGCAAGGTGGTAGGTGCCACACAGTTTAAGCTGTCTTCCCTCTGGGAGTCAGGCTGCTGGGAAGTACACATTTGGTAATCTTGCCCATAAAATGCTGATTGGACACTTATCGTAGAATGCCGAGGGCACTGGAGAGTCAAATGGTCCCCATCACAGGCATAGGCGGTGTGGTTTTGCAGGAGTTTGGTTAGGTAACCTGGAAAATATTCAGCTGGGTTACAAGAGGGCCAGGAACCCACCACTCCTTCATGGGTTTAGAAGCAGGAGGACAAAGGTGCCTGGGAAAGGGGCTACTGGGATTGGAAGGTGTATGATGCAGCCTCCCTAGAAGCTGGTGTGAAGAGTTCTCCCAGTGAAGCCCGGAGCTGGGGCTGCAGTAGCAGGCAGCTGTCATGGCTGGGCCAGGAACCTTGCTCTGGCATAGCCCACGGTGAGGTTGGGAGGGTACTTTCCCCTTCAGGAAGCACTAGGGGATTGGCCAGGAGCCACAGAGTCTAAAACTCCTTTCTAAAGAGGAAAATAGGCCGAGTGGGTGTCCCCAGGCATGTGGATGCCTGTCATGAAGGAGACTTGAATTCCCTGATCTCCTAGGCCTACCCGGAGGGAGAGGTGCAGTTCTACCTCAGGCAACCACTCTGGTCCTGCCTGGCCCTGGATAGGAAGGCCAGATGGGGCTCTCTGGGCTGTGCAAGGCCTGCCAGGAAGACATGTCATGGTGGGCAAGGAAAGGTGAATGGTGGGACTTTGCTATGGACTGAATAGTGTTCTCCCAGATGCATGTTCACCAGGAACCTTAGAACACGACCTTATTTGGAAATAGGGTCACTACAGATACAATCAGTTAAAATGAGGCCATAAATAAAAAGGGACCCCTAATATAGTATGACTATGCACTGTCCTTAAAGAATTGGAGGAGACTCAGAAGGAAGACAGCCACATAAAGACTGAAAGGATGCATCTAAAAGCCAAGGGAAGCAAGGATTTCTGGCCACAAGCTGGAAGAGGCAAAAATAGATTCTTCTCAGAGCCTTCAATGAGAACAAGGCACTGCTGACACCTTTATTTCTGACTTCTGGCCCCCAGAACTGGGGGAGAATGAATTTCTGGTGTGTTCAGCTACCCAAGACTTTTTCCAGCAGCCACAAGAAACTAAGCCAGTCTCCCAATCCCAAGTTCTTCACATTCTCCTCACGCAGGTTGAGGAAGCTGTTCTGTGCCTGTTCTGTGAGGAGCTCTGAGGAAAGGCTGACAGCCATTGGAGCATTTTTCAGAAAAGAGGAAGGCAGGTTCACCCAAAATGTAGATTTCTTCTTCCTTCTCACACTTCATGAGGTCAAGAGCAAGGCTGCTGGGAACACAGCCAGGGACTTTTTGGTGAGGTGTGTGGGAAACATGGTTGGCAGCCATAGGCCTCTGAGAGGGAGGGGCTAGGGAGAGAAAAGGCCACCTCAGAACACCTTGATTCCCACACCAATGACCAGTGCTTCTTTTACTCCTACGTAGTTTCAAAATCCTCTCAGAAACATAATTTCTGGAAAGAGTCACCCACCCAGCTCTCTGGGTTTCTAGGAGTCGAAGGGACCAAGGCAGTCTAGCCTGGATTGGTTCCATTTGCCCATCTAGAATGTTCTGATGAAGGCAGGCTGTGAATAGCCTAACCTAGGCCTGAGCTCCATTTCTGAACTCCTTTTATTTCCACCCTTGAAAACTACTGGAAGAATGACTTAGAGAGGCAAAGCTGACAGGAACAGCAGAACATCGGGCACCAGTGTGAGTCTTGAGTGTCCTGTTTGCCAGAACATCACCATCAGCCTCACAGTGTACCCTGCCACACTGAAACTCCCAAGGTTCTGGGCCTTGAGGTCTCCCTGTAGGGCTCCCTAGAGCTTGGCTAAAGTGCTGAGCGCTGACCATCTCAGCCTCTTTCATTCTGCCTCCAGGAACTCAGGGCAACACTCATGTTCTCTCTAGGCCAGCATCTACCCTGAGGTGCTTCTGGTGGGTCCTCCTACTTAGTTTTCTCAGGCTCCTTGTTAGGACTTTCTGTCTCTCGTGCCATCATTCCCAGAATCCTGTTGAGTGGCCAAGTAACTACAATGTCAAAGTAATCCTCAGACATGACAGGGTTACTGCTCCCAGTTTGTCCTTGAGACCAAATGGGTTACTTTGGCTAGATACAGGAAATGGCAAGGCTTTTTAGGGGCAGAACTGTAGACAGAAGGGACCGTGGTCCCAGATTCCTGCCAGCTCCACAGAATATTATCTTGATGAGAAGGAATCCTGAGGTGTGTTTGGCCATTACCTTTCTTTATGTTATTTGTCACATGGTCCAACTCAACTCACCAGAACTGGGTCTTTTGAGATCATTTACATCAAAACACCCAAGCACAGTGAGGCAGCTTAGGCCTCCCACTTCCAACCCTCATCTTATTATTGCTTTGCAAGTGTTATTTGAGCAGAAGTTCAAAAGATCAGGAAGGACAACTACCACTTCCCTCGGTGTAAGCAACATGGAAAGCACTTGAAAGGTCACGTTTGGATAGGGGTGCCAACATGAAACTGTTTAGAAAAGGTTAAAAACTGAATAAAAGTTGGAAAAATAAAAAAATTTTCATGTGATAGGCAGAAAGATGTCCTCTAAAGATGTCCATGAGTCTTAACTCTAGAACTTGTGATGACATTACCTTACATTATACCAGTGTACATGGCAGTTGTGACTTAGGGTATATATATATATATATGATACAGAGTCTCACTGTGCAGCCTGAACTCATAGTGATCCTCCTGTTTTCAGCCTTTCCAGAGCTGGGATTACAGGTGTGCGCCATTATGCCCAGTCTCTGTGGGGCCACTGTGGCATGTGGTACTGGGGATTGAACCCTGGTGCCTGTGCTCACACTTAATCCCCTGCGCTATCTCACCTGCCCAATCAGGGTCTCCATGGAGTATTTATCTTGGATTATCTGGAAATGCCCAATATAATGAGAAATTCTCAAAGAGAGAAAAATACAAGGGTCAAAATTAAAGAAAAAAAAAAAAGATGTAGAGCTAGCCAGATAGCTCAGCAGATTAAAGTGCCTGTTGAAGCAGATGGAGGGCCCAGGGGTTCGATCCCCAGCCTGCTGTGCTGGCCCTGCCTCCAGGGCATGCTGAGACAGTAATTGAGACTTGGCTTGGTGGCACGTGCCTGTAATCCCAGCACTTGGGAGGCTGAAAACAGGAGGATCACTGCAAGTTTTATCTGTGTAGGGAGACCCTGTAGACCCTGTGCTAAATACATAACATAAAAAAATTGAAAAAAGATGTGACAATGGAACTAGGATTGGATTGACATAGCCCTGCATTGAAGTATGTAGACAGTCTCTGGAAATGGTAAAAACAGGGGATGGCCTGAGCAACACCTTTATCATAGACTTTGACTTCCAGAACTACAAGATTAAGTTTGTGCTGTTTTAAGCAACTAAGTTTGTGACAATTTGCTACAGCAGCCATGGGAAATTAATACACTTAATATAAATGACTATTACAACAACCAGATGAAGATAAGAGAAGGGAGGCCACTGGGGTATAGTTTTAAGATCTGATGTTTGGGAGGAATTTTAAATAACTATGGTTGAATTAATGTTGAAAGACACTAATGAATATATGCATGTGTATATGTTATTATGTGTGCAGATGAGCCCTACATGATGTGTAAAGTGTATTTCTTCATGTGGATTGAGGTCCAACAAGTTTGAGAGTGAGGATTAGGGAGACACTGCTTGAAATGATGGCCCCTGGGCTCCACTGTAAATACAGCGAAGGCAATGAACATAAGAGAGGGCTGAGGCCGGGGGATCAGTTCTGCCCAGGGCCAGGGAGGCCAGGCGGTGGCCATCACAGCAGCCAACTAGAGGGGCTGGCAGCTGTGTCTGAAAGTCCTCTGAAGACAGAGCAATGGCAAGTCATGGAAATGTCCAAGAGTGGCCACAGGAGGCAAGGGTGGATGAAGAAGGTTGCTGGAAACAAGCATGATATGACTAGAAATGCAGATGGGTTCCACGTCAGATGCATCCAGGATGAAGGTGGGGTGTAGGGTGAAGCAGCAGCCTTCTACCAAGACCGACCTAGAACAAAGGACAGATGACAGAGGAGCCACTCCCAACCTGATTTCCTTTACAGCATTTATCTGTTTTCCCAGTGACCAAGCCCACTCATTCCAGCGGGCTGGGCACATTCAGCGAGCCATTCAGCTTCCCCACACTTTGGTTTCTTGGCTGGTTCAAAAGACAAAATTCAAACAAAACAAACAAAAAACTAACTACTAGTACAGCTTTTTATCAACAGCTATCTGGATCAAATTTTCCTTTGCATTGGATGAGTCAAAAGTGCTTTATTTCTTAACAGTCTCAGCCAGGCTCTTTATATTCTAACTATGTATTTATAAGCAAGTAGTTAGTACTCTAAGAGAAGATGAAAGTGCACACTCTTAAAAAGTCAGGCCTTGGAGTCCAGTACAGCCTCAGACACTGTGGTGATCCTGGTTAAAGGGTGGAAAATGAGGAGAGGGAAGTAACAGATTGTCTCCCTCACCTTCACATAGTGCAGGGACCTGAGAACAGTTTGTGATGTGCTACAAGATCTTTTTTTCCCTGTGAAACTGTGGAGCGGCAGATACTCCTTCAGTTACAACAAGGCTGGAACTTTTCTCAAAGGAGTATCTTGAAAGGCTTGGATTGGGAAGATCTTAAGAGTAGTTTAGATAAAAGTTTTTATGTGTTCATTTTTAAACAAGGAGAAAGAGCTCCTGGAAAATGAGCTCTGTGACTGTTAACTGTATGTCACTTTGAGTGAATTAAAAACTGCCTCATAAGGGCTGGATAAATAGCTCAGCAGATTAAAGCACCTGCAAGCAGGCACAGGGGCCAGGGGTTCAATCTGCCATGCCAGACCCACCCCCAGGGTGAGCTGAGACAGCAATTGAAGACTGGGTGTGGTGGTGCACACCTGTAATCCCAGCTCTTGGGAGGCTGTGAACAGGCAGATCACCATGAGTCCGATTTAGTAGTGAGACCCTGAACACTCTGTGGACCCCTCCCTGAAAAATACAAAAAAAAAAAGAAAAAAGAAAGAAAGAAAGAAAGAAAGAAAAGAAAAGAAAGAAAAAAAAGAAAAGAAAAGAAAAGAAAAGAAAAGAAAAGAAAAGAAAAGAAAAGA